CCCCCAATTCTTAGGAGCCTCTCAAAGCCCCTTAGCTGAGGTGATGTACACTGAAGTCTTGTGCTAGAAAGAAACTGTGCAAACCTTTGAGACTGTAGTTAAAAGAACCAAATCGTTAATGATCACCCTGGGCAACAGCTAGCAGAACACACATGCAATTTATAAGTTGTTCATAACGGCAAAAACTTTGCCCTTTGGAGAGTATGAGTTGGAAGAAATGAGAAAAAGAAATTGGTTTTTTTTTTAAGAGTCTTCATTACACTTAAATTATTTTTCTTTGAAAACTCATTTCCCTTGCAGACTCATTTTCAAGAGCAATGTTGCAGTGATCGAAGTTGCCACAATAGATATTTCAGTTCATATTTGAAGAAGTTACAGATTTTAAAGCCAATATTTTATAGAGTGGAAAGGTAGAGAGGTATATTGATATAAAGAAGACTTTTTTTTTTTTAAATCTGCTAATAGTTCTTATTTTAATAGTTGTAAATGTTAACAGTAATCATGAATAGCAAATGCAGATACCCTAGACTGTAGATGATAAGAACCAGTGTTTTAGGAAAATGTCCAGTTGTATGCAGCTCTCATTGTATTTCACATTGGTCTTTCTGTGTGATTTTGCACAAGACACTTGAGATCCTCCTGACTTCAAGCTGTACAGGAATTAGTTAATCAAATAAGTAATCAGCCCTAACCAATTCCTCGTAATCTTTTTGATTACTTTCTGTTACCTTTTAGTAGGCCTCTTCCCAGTTCTCCCCTCTAGAAGCCTTCTCCCAATTAAAGATGATATTTAGCTTTAACGTTTGTCATAAGAGGTATTGGAGTTAAATATTCAGATGGTGTAGTAGCAGGATTAAGATGTGTTTTTCATAATTATCTGATTGAGGTGAACATCACTGTTTTCAACATTTCTGAGGTGGTACAGGTGCTTCAGGCCATATAATTTTACAATAAAACAAACTCAAAAATCAAAAACCTCTTATTTTTTGAAAATAGGTGTAAATTTGGGAACAAAGTTTTTTGTACATTATTTCCATTATTGGTACTGATGTTTATTTAGTAACAAGGCAGCTATGTAATATGAGCACAACTGACTCTGTTTTCAGGTCTTTCCTGGCATTCACCAGTATTGTATTAATAAATTTATTTGTACTAAACCGTAGGAAACAGGACAGGCCTTATACATTTACAGATAGGAGGACCGAGCAGTTGTCTTACTCAGGATGTCATAGGGAGTGTGGGACAAAAGTTAGCCATTCATACATCCCTGATACTGCAGAGCAGTTCCTTAGCCATAAACTGGTATTTTCAGTCTGTCACCTTCATGTAGAGGGACAGCGTTTTAATTAACCTTTCAAAACAATTTTGAATGTAAAGCATTTAATGAGAATCATTAACCAGCTTTTTTAGATCACTGTTGCCCATCTGTGAAGAAGGAGACTTTAAAGGAATTCCAGTGACAGATTATATAGGTAGTTCATTGGCTAACACATAGCCAATTTTTTGCTGTTACTCTCTTGGGTGTTCATTTGATTTGAAACCTTGAAAAACAGTCTAAAAACCAGATTGGCTAGGGGAAAAAAAACCTTTGGCTAGAGGCACAAACCTGGTGAGAACTTAATTGGAATCAATAGAGAATTAAATGAAGGAAAAGACTGTAGTAAAAAGAAAATCCTCTAGCCTGACCAAAACCAAGAAAGAAATTCAGGCTTGCATAATGGCATTCATTCTTGTATTTATGCTAGCTATGAACCCTGAACCTATAATGTTTTCTTTGAGGATTATATGCTTTTTAACTACAGCAGAACATTCTAAGTGATAGCATTGTGCTTACGCAAGCAGATGGGAATGACCTCCATATGGACTTGTTATTCAGCTTTCCAGATATCTTTCTGGTTTTTAAGCACCTTAATCTTGTGTCTAAACCATCACAGGTTAGGTTTATTTCCATAGAAGCTGTTTTCCTGGCTAGAAATAATTGTGTACCTACTTGGTGTATGCAGAACTGTACTGAAAACAGGATAAAGAATAAAAACCTGACATGATTAGTGTTCTGGTAGGTCTTTAACCATCCCTCACAATTACTTCTTAGTGTTTTTAGATTAATTTGTACAAAATACCTCCATCCCTCATATTCCTTGTTATAACTAGGATATCGTATTTTATATTGGCTTCTCAGAGATTTCTGGTGCTATGTTGACAGTGAAAAAGAGATTTAAACTGTTTCCCTGCTGGTATTCAGGGAGCTTATGAGGACAGATAAGCTCCACGTTGTTCTGGTTGCTCTGTGTTGCCTACGCCAAGGTAATAATAATGCA